GAGAAAAGTCTGAATATCAGTAAGGAACAGCTGTTTTATGTATGAGAAATGTTTGAATAAAGAAAAATAACTGCACCCTTGAAAAAGTAAGGAAGCGGAAGGGTTGATATTCTCAGATGAAAGAAGAAAAACTTAATACTGACACAGATGGTTTCAAATAAACATGGGAGACTATTAATAGAATTTCAAACAATATTAGCTGAGGTGAGGGAGGAATAAAGAAAAAAAAATGAATGCCAGAGAAAGTAAAAGATGCAAACAGACAATAAATGACAACACAACAAAGCATTAAAAAATAAAGAATTAATAAAGAAATCAATGCTTGTTTGTTATTTTAAACAGTTTGCCAGGTGCAAAGAATTTAAAATTGAACTTTAAGCAAACTTCCCAACCATTCTTTTTTTAAAATCCTTCTTGATAAGTAAATAAGTTTGTCATAAAAAACATGTTTGATTTATTTTAGGAAACAAAATTGAACAGAGCAGCTTTGCTTTTTATATTACTACATTCATCATCATCATAACTACTACTACTACTACTACTCTCAGCAGCATTTCCATGTTCAGACCAGATATAAAGATGTTATGTGTGGAGATCAAATGTCGTCAGAAATCTTCAGTATTTTTACAGACTATAAGAACTGTCATAATCTGAACAATATTTATGCATTCTCAAATTTTCTTTTTATCCTATTTTTGACTTCAATATTTTTGGTATGTATCCAGGTATTCCATATATTATAGGCTTGATTTTAATTTTCAGTTTTCTCACTTCTTGGACAAGGTCCAGATAAGTTTCCAATATTTCATTTTCTTTTTTTTTTTCCTTCTTCAACCTGCTGAAACTGCTATGTCTATGTTCAGGTAGATTTTTTTTCTTTTCTTGCTTGAATAGGGTGGGCAATCAAAGTTACAGAATTTTATTTTATTCTTTTCTCTCCCATCCCCAGATTCTGGTTTGTGCTGATACACCTTGTTTATGTGGTCACAACCAAATCATTTGTTACTTGGCCATGTCTCTTTTCATATACTTTTTCAGCTCGCTTGTCACATTCACTTGTAATGTATTTTTTAGGCCTAGTCTCTTTCTGCACAACATTAAAATTGGTGTGTGTGTGTGTGTGTGTTTCATCAATTTTTCTTTTGGTGAGGGCAACAACATCCACATCATTATGATTGCTAACTCAAAACTAGCTAAATTTGGAAAGGAGGAATTAATATATTAAGGGACAACAACATCACATGGATCTGATATTCTCACATTGTGATAGAGAACTAACAAAGCCTGGTGATATAATGAGTTATTGTTGGGGCACGCTGGGTCGAGGTTAATGAATCAAACTCCCCTAACTTATCTTCTAATGAAAGCCCAATGCCCCCCCACCCAAGTAATTTTGATGCTATCACAACAGTAGTTGTATGAACATATTTATCATGTCATAAAATACTAGCATAGTACCTATCAAAAATTACAGAATTATTTATGTATGAATCTGTAATGCTGCCTAAGATCAGTTTAGTATCTGTGTACTCTGATATGCTTTGTCAGAAGTCATATACACACTATATATTTGATCAGGTTGTAATCAGTTCTGTTTAACTTTTCAATTTAATATGTTGAACAAGTTTTAAGGAAGTTCAGCCTTTAACTGATATTTATCATATATATTATATATACACACATGTGTATGTGTGTGTGTGTAATTATTATTTTAATTTGATAAATTAAATACATATTTATTTTAAATAACAGATGGTCTTGATTTAATTGTTTTTTTTTAAATTTAATTCTGAGCTAATACCCATTACATTTCCCAACACACATGTATCCTTTATATCTACAAGCTTTCCTTTCACACCCAAACTCCAACACATGTACCAACTAAAAATAATGTTTTTTTTACTAATAAGAATTAAAACAAATTTCAAAACAAATGTATGTATGTATTTGGTTGTAATGAAAGTTTTGTCCAATTTTTTTACAGGATATTTTGAACAGGATTTAATGTATCTCATTTTTTAACTGAAATTTACCCATGTCAAGATGACTAATATATTTCATTTTCTATCAGATTCTGTGAAAATTATTTAAATCTGTTACAAAAAAGAACTAAAAAAAATGAACACAAAACGATCAGCTTTAAAAAGGACTTGTAACTGGAAAAACTGAATGAAAAAGAATGTTAACAACAAATACTTTTTCATGCCCAACCCAGTTCTGCAGAATCAGAATCAACGTTGAGTTTAAGCAAGCGAATGAGCCAATTGGAGTAAAGTGCCATGCAGATTTAAATTTTTCCCACTTGTGACGAATGCAGCTATCGATTTTTTTTGCATGCTAGTTAACATTCGTGTCAGTCAGCTGTTGGCTCTCACACTGGCCAATAGAATCTTCCTGCCTATTCATGGCAGCCAGCTATTGGCTCTCACTCTGGCCAGTAGAAAATGGCTGCAAACTACATGAAAACTGCTGTAGAAGCATGAAAAAATTGATTATTTCCACTATCGATTGGAGTTGGGAAATGCAAAGTTGGTCTTGGCCTTCCACTAACTTGGAGCATGTACATGTAAATTTTGGTGCAAATCCGTCGAAAATTGCAGCCATGCATTTGTTACACACACACACACATCCTGCCTTTTATAGATAGAGATAGAAAACATTCAACTAAAAAAAAAAGTTTTCTAGGAAGCTATAAAAATGGCTGCAATTTTGAAATTGATACAGTAGAAAAGTTAACAAAATTAATGTTGAAAGATTGATGAAGGTTATAGAATGTCAAAAACTAAACCCATGTTAACATGTAAAAAATAATAAAATAATTTATTCAGGTATATGGAATAGGTGTTAATCAAATATAGTCTATATTTTTTTTTTAGAACAGTATACTTTGAAATTTACTAATATATATATACTAATAGCAGTAAGTGTCCTAAAATATATTTAAAATTTTTCTGATGCTAAACTCTGTACAAAATTAAAAATTTATTCCTTTGGCTGCAGGACATTATTTAAGTCACAGAACTATGACTAATGTTTTAAAGAATCCCTTTCTATTTATTTCTTAAAGTTTGTTCTCTGCTTTTAGTGATTACAATTAAATCTATAATAAATTTATATTACATTCATTATATAAATAAAAGAACAATGATTAAACCAACCTATCATATCAATATTATTACCATTATAAGATATTATATAATGCCAATAAAATGATTTATTATCAGAAAATATTGCAGTAATTATATTAAAATTGTCACATTTAATTGTTATCAGTGTTTAAATAGATTTTTATGAGAATACTGGCTTTAAATTAAAATTATAAAAAAGTTATCTTTATTGATTCAAAGCAACATTTTTCTTATCAATAAATTGGTTCATGGATTTTCCAGATAGTTGGGTCAGTCTGCCATGAAAATATGATTGTTTCTATAAAGATTTGTTCTAGGAGTTGGGTGAGAGGAGGAACTGACCTTTTACGAACATATTTTTAATGCTGCCAATATCAGGAAGAGGAGGCTGTTAAGAATGGAAATAACAGACATAGAACTTTCCAAATCAAATTGTTCAGAAAAAAAAAAATAATTGGGCAAATACATTCTCAACCATTATTATTCTCTTTCTTTTTAACACTCTCAGCTTTTGCTTTAAGATTTTAATAGAGAAAAAAAATAAAAAGGATTTTTTTTTTTTTGTTTAATCATTTAAACATCTTTTAAAATTTTACCTTCTTTAGAGAACATATATATATATAAAAAAAAAAAAAAAAGTTTTACAAAAGCCAAACATTAGAAAAAAAAATTACAGAAGTAACAATTGAAATTTTTTTTAATTTCAGCTAAACAATTTATATAGGAAGTTAACTCATATATGGACATTTATTGATCCAATAAGCAATTTTAAAAATGTTATTAATTTTAATGTTAAAAATGTTATTAATTTTAATTATTTCAATAAAATTGAAAAGAATATTAATATAATTGAAAGTTAAGTTTTTAAATAATACTATTGTTAATGGGATAGCAATTTTTTCGTATAACTTAGCAGATAAAAAAAATGTTTTTTTTTAGTGAACAGGATTTTAAATATAAGAGATTTGCCTAGTGATGAAAAAAAAAAAAAAACGCATTTTGTAAATATTTATTTTTAACAATCTTCTTCCCTGACACTGTACTTATAAACCAAATACTTCCCCATTAATCTCATACATAAAAAAACATTATGCAATGAAATTTCAGATCATCAAAATTCAGCTAATAATTGTTTCTCAGACTATGGACTTATTAATCGGTTTAAGTTCAATCACTAGTTTAGGCATTTTACCACTGGGTCAGTGGTAAAAAAGCATCACATGGAAAAATAACTGATAGAAGATGAACCATGTACCCCTGTGAATTGAATTAAAAATTTTGTTTGAAATTTCCACTAGGTGACTGAAAATAACAAATATCTGAAGAAACTAGAGGCTACAATGGATGAGATATTCCAGCTGTAACAAGATGTTATTCTGATCAGCTTAAGGTAGCAGGGATTTTCTTCCAGATCCAGGTCCTCACTGATCAATCGTGTTTTTTTTTCAGTGTAGCAGAAAAAAAAAGCCTGGCTAATTACAGGCTATTTATGTCTCCTATACTGATTGTCACTCATGGCTATAGGACCTAAGTCCCAGTCTGTTCTGCTATTTAACCCATAGCAGGTTAGAGGAAGAAACAGATTCATACTTTTCCAAGAGTATAGTTGCCTTAAGTTTATGTAACAAACTTAATTTTCTTTTGAACTTGGCTTTCCGATTCCTCAATCCAAGTTACTATCCATTACTCTATGTGCCTCTACAAATAGATTAATGCATAATAATAATAACTTATCATCCAAGAAATTCAGACATAAATGATATTTGCAAAAATTTTGAATTCTTCATGCAAGAATGCATTAACCTTCATATCATGTCAAAGCAATGAATTGTTTGATAAAAGATTATAAAAAATGTCAAGATGTTTAATTACCTGGTCACTAGATGTTTCTCTTGGAGAGGAAGGGCTCTTATCTTCAGCCTCTGTTAAACAAGACAAAGAAAAAAATTATATTTAATTATTTAAATTGATAATAAGAACAACAGAATTTAAAATAAAATGATTAAAAATAAGTTAAATGATATTTAATATTTTTTTCTGGAAGAAAGAAAAATACATACAAGACAATTATATTTGACTGCATATAACAACTTATTATTTTGTCTCTATTTCTGAGATGAGGTATTATTTGCATTATTTACACTGTTTGGACTTTGTTTTAATATTCATGACATTTTGGCCATTATATGCTCTGGTCTTCGTCAGGTGATTGAAATTTTGATCTGAACCTTTTATTTTGTCCACTGGGATTTTTTTCAAGTTCCATGAAATGATTCTGGGACATCAGAAAGATGCATGACATGTTTTACTAGAACAATCTACCCTGGTGGGTGAAATAAAGGGTTTAGATTTACAGTCAAAATGAAAATCTGTAAAGAATATAATGGCTGAAAATATTGTGAATATGGCAACAAAAAAAAAAACAACAGTCGTTACAATGTGTAAATAACTTATTTATGTTTAATATTCCACTATTTTGAAGTTATGCTTATTAGTCTATGGTGTTTGGGCAAACATTAACCTATCAGATATGTCACATCTAGTCCAGTTTTCTTATATATTTTGAGATTTTTGATAAAATCCAAAAACAAATTTGCAATGTTATTGGTCCTGACATAATATCTGGACTTCAGTAACTTTCCTATTGCCATAGGTTGATTCTACACTTGAACAGGTTAAGACTGTTGAGGCGATTGGGGAAACATCCTCTTGGGTGTCTGTTTCATAGGGCATTGGTGTGTGGGAAGAAAGCTGTTTTGAGTGGAACTTCATGCCAATGGAATATGGAGGGAATGTGGGTGGTTTTCTACTATGTAAGTGGCCTAAATATGTCCTAGCCATGGAGGTTAAACCAGGTGGAACCAAAAATTAGTTCATCCAAGCACTTTCCATGATAGTAGCAATAGAGCAGTGAGAGACTTGCTAAATTCCACCCGTGAGAGGGAGGTTGAGGGTTGAAAATTAATTCTTCTCCAACAAGGGCTTGGAGACACTTTTGAAATATCAAAACTGTAAAGTGAGGTCTTGGAAGCTCCAGCTCAAATATGGCAATGGTACTCCATACTTGGCCTGATCTGGCTCTTATAAAAGGTAGAGGATAGCATGAGGAATCAGGTACTTACTGGAGCGGCACAGAGAGCAGATCATTTTAACTGCATCTTTAGTGATGAATTGTATATAGGAGTTCCAACTGAGGTCAGGTGTGAGTTTGAGGCCCAATATCCTCTCAAGGTACAGGGTCTCCTTGAAACAGACATCCATTTATTGTTGCTGGCTGTGGTTTCAAGTCAGATCAGTGGTGATGGACTGTAACCAGTTTGGTCTTAGAGGTATTGAATGTAACCAATTACAGTTTTTTTTAAATACTGAGAAGTCCATGTTAGAACAGAAGAGAGGTTAGCTATAAGACAAAATTCTATTATAAGAGTTTTTTATCTTGTACTTCTCAAGCTTGGGAAATCTCTTCCAACTTCTTGCTTTCCAGTCAACTTTGATCTTTAAAAATTGAAATGCAATGTCAATTGTAATCTTTTGTAATCTTAATTCCTGTTCTTTTATTCTCTCTCTCATAATTATTTTTTTTTTTCTCATATTCTCTCACACTCAGCAACCACTTGTGTATTAATGGCTTTATTGCCTTGCTTGGGGTGAAATGACTAAGAAAAGTAATATGGCAATAATACCTGAAGCAAAATGAAGTGTGAGTAAAATGAGATGCAATGTAATTAAACACTATTTACATCATTCAGACTATTGTTCTCATCTTTGTTGTCATATTTATTACAACGTTTTGGCCGTTGTATGCTCCGGCCTTCTTCAGGTGGCTGGAATGTCGAAATGAACCCTTTGAGGGTCCTTGAGGACACATGGCACAGTGGATAAAGGCGTTAGATCCAGTGACAGGATTCAAAGAATGTGAGTTCAATACCTGGTTAAGACGGTGGAGAAATTGGAGAGGGAATTACCAGGAGATAACTCATAACTGACATCCATTAGACATGGCACATGGAACTAGAACAGTCTACCCCAGTGAAGCTTTTTTAAAGGTTTGACATTCCAACCACCTGAAGAAGGCCGGAGCGTACAATGGCCGAAATGTTGTAATAAATATGGCAACAAAGATGAAGACAATAGTCCGAATAATGTAAATAGTGTACATAATACCTCATCTCAGAAATATAGACAGTTAGTGTAATTGTAGGATAAAAAACCCAACCAGTAGAATTAAGAGATTATGCAATGAAATGTTAGATGAGGTGTCATGTAAAGGTAGAGTTATATACAGAGTGAACATCCAGCAACTGTGGGCCCAGGTGAGATCACAATACTAAAATATTTAAAGAAAACCAGAAGTGGATGACATTTTGAAGAATTACAAGTGAATATAAGGAATTAAGACTTTATCTAAAAACATTAAGCTGCAGTATAAACAGATTTGGGTGGTGGATGAATATGATTTTTTTTTTGTAAGATTCATAGTTTACTGTATTTTATGGTTCAATTATTGTTCAAGCAATTTTGTTATATATTATTTATAAATAGCTTTTTTTTAATCATTTCATCCCAAGTAAGGTAATAAAGCCACTAAAGATTCAAGAGAGTGAAAAGCCCTGAGAAAAATGTTGAGTAAAAAAAAAGGACATTAAAGACCAAATTCAAGGAGACAGAATATGACAGTTGACATTGTATTTAAATTTTTTGAAAGAGTTGCCAGGAAAACAAGAAACCAAAAAAATATTCCACAGGTAGGAAGTACGAGAAAAGAAACTAGCACAGAACTTATGGTTACATCAAGCAATTTCAGCAAAAAATGAAGAAACCTAGCTGCCAATCTAGTACTGCACTTAAAATTTGTGAAGTAGAGCTACGAAAGAGGAAAGCTCATTAGAACAATTAGCATGAAAATATTTATAGAAAAGGCAGAGGGAAGCTATATTATGGCTTAAATTCATAAAGTCTAGGTACCAAACAGAAAAGCTCATCAGAACAATTACCATGAAAATATTTATAGAAAAGGCAGAGGGAAGCTATATTATGGCTTAAATTCATAAAGTCTAGGTACCAAAGAGGAAAGCTCATCAGAACAATTAGCATGAAAATATTTATAGAAAAGGCAGAGGGAAGCTATATTATGGCTTAAATTCATAAAGTCTAGGTACCAAAGAGAAAAGCTCATCAGAACAATTAGCATGAAAATATTTATAGAAAAGGCAGAGGGAAGCTATATTATGGCTTAAATTCATAAAGTCTAGGTACCAAAAAGAAAAGCTCATCAGAACAATTTCCATGAAAATATTTATAGAAAAGGCAGAGGGAAGCTATATTATGGCTTAAATTCATAAAGTCTAGGTACCAAACAGAAAAGCTCATCAGAACAATTACCATGAAAATATTTATAGAAAAGGCAGAGGGAAGCTATATTATGGCTTAAATTCATAAAGTCTAGGTACCAAAGAGGAAAGCTCATCAGAACAATTAGCATGAAAATATTTATAGAAAAGGCAGAGGGAAGCTATATTATGGCTTAAATTCATAAAGTCTAGGTACCAAAGAGGAAAGCTCATCAGGACAATTAGCATGAAAATATTTATAGAAAAGGCAGAGGGAATCTATATAATGGCAATGGAAAAGTGTCAGGTCAGAGCCTATGTCATTGCAGATTCTTCTCAGGTTTTTACTGAAAAATGGCAATTGTTGAATTTGAAAATGTTTATCCTTTATTTCTCAGGGTTTGAAAGCTAGTGACAGATCTACAAGCTAATTATGGTGGATTCAAAACTACGATAGACCATGATAGCTGTCACATTACAAAGTGTGGAATTCAGAAGCACAGCTTAATCTAGACTACAACAATAAGGCACCTAGTGAAGATCAAATGCATAAGCAATCATTTAGGGCATCATTTAAATATAAACATGTTTTTCTTTTTAAATTTTATGACTGTATTTCTGATTCATTAAGAAGTATTTAATTAATTTTCAGGTAATAGAAAAAACTGTTATTGACAAAGTGTATATTTGTCTACTTTTAGGGATACGAGGAAGAAAGAAGGAATTGGTTTTGGCTTTAGTTCTAACACATTTCAAGTGGACATAATGCCATGTATTCCTTAAAAAAAAATGAAAAAAAACAAACTTTTTTATCTCTCAGTCATGTCTATTTCAATCGCTATTTTCATTCAAAATATCAAAGTAGTTTTAAATATATTTAGTTTGTTTTCTATCAATAAACAGAAAGGTAATTTATAACAAACAGTTTTTCTTTTAGTCATACAAAATGTTGTTCAAGAGAAAGTGGGATATTTTAAAATACATCATCAAACCAACTTCATAATATGATCTTTGTACTTCTGCCTAACATCATTCCTCTTGGTTGGCTTTTCTCTCTCTGAAGTTGGTGGGTTAGTATTATAGAACAGAAATTCAATAAGCTGTTCAAGGAAATAAGGGTCACAGCTGTCAATCAGATAGAAGCCTTTCATGCTACTGTTTCAATCCTCTTACTATACAAAGACTTAATGCAAAGATGCATTTCTCTGAAAAGGAAGGCTTGGTAGTTGAGGTAGTTGTGTATTTCTCATTAGCATCAGTTGTCAGAGTAAAAGCCAGACTCTACATGCTAATTTTCAAGGTAAACATGTCCACCATAATTAGAAAACTGATGTAATAGACTTTTCCTACTCTTATTTATGCATATTTAGCTCTGTGTTGAACTAAATTCAGAATAACAAATAGAATTTAAGACTTGATTTTTGATGCAAAAATAAAACAAAATAGCAAATTTTTTCTATTTCTTGAACTGTACTATTTCAGCTTTATGATAATAGAGTTTTAGATGCCACATAAATCTTGTGTATATGTGAGACAAGAGAGAAGCAATGTGGATCTGCTAGTTATTTTGGAAAAGGCCCCCAGAACAAAATATAGGTTACAGCTGATAAGTGTGGACAACTCCTGGAACTATTATACATATGTTAATTTTGGCACAAAGGCAGGTGGCAAGAATATTGTGTTGTCCCATAGAGAAAACCTATCTACCTTGAAAATCAGCATTTGAAATCTTAGGCTTCAACACAATGAAATGCAACAATCTCTAGTCAATCATCAGACTTATATATTAGTATCTATAAAACTTTCTTCAAATAAACTTTATCCTCAAAAGAATTGAATACTTTTCAGAAGTAACTGTTCTTTCCCCTATATTGATTGGCAATCTAGTTATTTAAAGATGTGACCTTCCTGTAACATTGATGAGTTCAAAAGTAGATCTATCTTCCCTGAAGAGGTAGGAAAATTTTGGCTCACAGCCACATTATATTTGGCAAATGAATTTACTGCATACCATACAGAAATGCTTACTAGCTAAAACTCTTTATTGGTCTTATATAGTTGACTGAATTAAAATCTGCTTAAATGATTTATGTTTCAATATTACCAATTTAAGAAATTAATCAAATGTATTTAATTAATCAACAAAAAGATTAATCCATCATTTTTTATTTTTTAAGAATAATTTCATTTAACCCTTTAGCATTCAACACTTGCTTGTAAATATTGGCTCCCAAAGTATCACTATTTGCATGGTTTCCTATATTAGTTGGGATGATGTAATCACATATTATAAGCAGAGGATACATGGGGCAGGTTAGAGCAGGTTAAACACTGAGAGCTGATATTTACAGTGTGGGTTGAATGCTAGAAGCTTAAATATTATTTCTTATTAAATTTTATTAAAAATTTGAAAGAACAATTACTGTACATATGTAAACTATAATAGTCTTCTTATAATCATTCAGATCTTGTCTAAATTTCTTACATAAAGCATTATTGTTAACTAATTCTAGTGTCTTTGTTCATTTTCTGCTCTTTCTGAATCTACCAAGAGAAGGTAAGTTGTCATGGAAATTGTCAAGTTATACTTGATGACATAGCAGGTGATGAACTACTTCTTTTGAAATTGTTGCAGGTGAATTTTTTACTGAAGGAGATGTAGATGATTGAAAAATTGTAACTGTAGGCCAAGAAATATGATTTAGATCTTGAATATAAAGTTTATCAACTAGCTTTCCAAGATCTAATAAAAGATGAAATACTTAGAACTTTAAAAATAAACTGTAATGTCCTTATGTCCTTCCAAGGAGTTGCACATCATGGCAAGTGTATGATTCAGTGGCAAAGCTAAGGATTAAAGGTTACTATGCCTCTTATTGCTTCCTAACTGATATTTATCAATAAGCAGACATAATTCTTTGAATAAAAAAAAAAATCAGTGATGTACAACAAGTTTCAAGGAAGAAAGAAAACAATGAATTTAAAAAAATTCTTCCTTATTCACTTTCTTTTATCGCATTAATGTTGGATTTGGCGGGGTATATTTTGTCATGCAATTTTATTCTAGTGGAAAAAACAAAAAAAAAATCTACATTTTTTGTTTTTGTACAATATAAAAAAAAAATTTTTGTGGTTGTTCAAAAAGAAATAATTTAAATAATGAAAATAGTACAAATCAAGCAGAAAGAGTAAAAGAAAAAAAAGAAAAAGTAATTCTTTAGATTTCACTTTCTTATTTTCTCTGTAATAATGGATGATGTTCAACTGGAATCATATTGAGAAAACAAACATTTCAAAGAATCTTAGCTCATTCTTAAACAAACAACAGCACCAACCAAACTTCTAATTTAAAATTATTGTTAGAAATCACATAAAAGTTTTCAAAACTCAGCTTATGTTAAAGATCTGTTTTATGGTTCATTATCTAACCTCATTTTTATCCCAAAGAACTGGTAAAGGCTGTTTTTGAAAATAACTATGGCTGATCGTGTATGCTTGTGTGAGACGTATTCTTTCTCTTTTGGATATTGTTTTAATATTTCTTTTCTGTGCCAAACAAAATAATGTGAACAAGATTTATTTTTAGATTGCCACAGCTTGATGTCTATTTTCTATGAAGAAGAATATTGGCAATATTAACCAGGGCTGTTGAAAAAAAATCTGAGACAATTTGGGATGAAGTTGAAGTCTGTTGGAATGAAATAGTTCCAACTTATGTCAAAGAGGTCTTCTAGAATGTCATTCATATTTGAGCATTTTAGCATAAGTCAAGATGGAAAATATTTTGTGCCAGTCTATGACACAGAACTAACATGTTATTACTAAATAATAGATATTTGTTTTCTATGAAGCAATAGAAATGTAGAGGAATCAAAATTAAAGGTCGATTGCATTGTCCTGTTTTTAACAATTGTTATTTACTTTGGGTTCTTTTATTAATGCTTAGAAAGTCATGATAGTCTAATAGATAATGATTGTCATTGTTAATTATGCTTTTGTGTATAATTTTGTATATTATTGTAGTGAACTACTTCAGAAGGCAAAGAGGCCTTGGGTTGCATATATTTTTTGCAATGTTATAATAAAATAACCTACCTCCAGCATGACCAGAGATTTGAAAGAGCCTCATGTATAAAATTATTATGGTGGCTTTGTATGTTACTGTTGTAACCTAGGAAAAAGTTACGGAATAAGAATAACCAAAATGAAAGTTGGAAATGGAATGAAAATATTTATAACAGGAACAGCATAAGAGATTCGCCAGCGGTGTGTAGTAAGTAATCAACTGCTAGTAGTGAGCTAGAAGTGAATTATGGTAAAACCCAAGTGAATTCTAGTGAATCTAACATAGTGTATTCCACTGTATTTATAAGGATTGGGTTAGTTACATATTTAAAAAAGCTAGATCTTGGAGTAATATACTCTCTTGCAAGATTATCTTTGTGCATATGCAAATTTTGGCTGTCAATGATACATAAAAATGGAAAGAACAAGGTGACAAGGGAAGAAAATAATAGTTGACTGTTGTATTGAACTGGTTACATGTGTTGTGGACAGTGAGTAAGAAGAAATTGGTTGCGAGGAAAAGTTTAAAGCTTTTTTTTGCCACAATTATGAATAAAGATCTTCAAAAAAATAAAATAAACTTACCTTGGGATTGTTCAGGAGAATTATTCTGTGAAAAAAATAAAAATAAATAAGCAAAAAAATAAACAGAAATAAAGATTAAATACAATTAATTAAACAATTCCCAGACAACATCAATTTTGATGATTCAGAAAAATTCTAATCAACTTGTGAAATTCTTGATGTCTAAATTTGATTAAAATTGCTCCCAGCTATTTGTATTTTTAATGAATTTGGAATTATAATGAAGAACATTAACCCCTTTAGTACAAGTTGTACAAATTTAATATGGTGACCTTGGAACCTAGTTATTGCTGGACGACTAGGAATGCAAGAATAAAAAAAGTTAGATCCTAAGGAAACTGTATATATAATCCTATTGTCTTAGCAAACTTATTAAACTATTTAATGCAGTTCATTTTAGAAAATCTTTTTTGATAATATGGAAAATAGAAAGGAAAAATATTTTAAACATTTAAAAAACATTTGTAATAAATGCAAATTATTTGTTTGCTTATATGTTTTTAATTGATTGGATTAAAAATAATTTATAAAATTTGGCAAAAATAAAATCAATATTTAATTTTATGCTAAAATAATTATTCCAAGTTGTTGAATTTAGAATTTTTTTGAATTTCAAATTGTGGTTAAATTTTTAAAAATCACATTCAGTTTAAAGTGTCATTTTATAAACTCCTGAATTAGGGTTAAAATCAATGTTTGAAACAAAATGAAAGAATTTTAATGGCAGATCCATAAACAAATAGTGTCAGATTTAAAACCTGGGAGTTGCTAGACTACAAAGTCATAGATTAGGATAAAATAGAGGCCATGAAGCACATGGTTCAATCACTTTGGGGCTGTAAAGGAAATAAATACAAAACAAAACCTGTCCTTAAAAACATGCTTATACAAAGAGTTCCAGCCAGTAGTCTTGTACTTTTTGTAGTTATATTTATAGCACCAGGCAAGTGAATATTGCTGATCATGAAACTCTTAAAAAAAATGAAAAATTGTTCTATACTAAATCTAAGTGCTCCATTTTTTAAAGTAATAAATTTACTGTTAAACCCAAATGGTATTAATAGCTAAGATACTGTTAATTCCAAATAGTAATTTCTTCTAAAGCCGTAGTTCTCAACTGTTTTTGACCAATTCACTCTTTTCACCATATGTGAGAATGTCATTCCACCCTTTCCAAAATTGTCCAACTCAAAAAGTGCATTCCAAATAATATGCATAGATCATTGAAAAATCTTCATTCTTTTCTATATTAGTACAGTTACATAGATCATTTTTTTTATAGGAGTTTTCTTAAAATTAATAGTAATAGAATATGTTCATGGATTTTTAAACTTGAATACATGTACAGTAATTTGTTCTAATTTATAACTAATTATTAAATGAATAAACATACTTCAGTAAAAAACAGTTCAATAAAAAGTCAGGGTATTTAAATCAATTTTATTCTGATGATGATTGCAGCCAATGAGAAACTTGAAATCTACCAAAATCATTCAGGAAAAGCCTACTGATGTCTGAAGCACAAGGTATTACAGATTTACATTTCGCTTTTTTTGCTTATGTATTTTTTTCAGATTTAAGCCAGATTTCAAACTTTTTTCTTTATCTTTTTTTTCTTTTTTTTAAAAATCACACAGAAATTGAAAATTTATCAGTAAAGAAATAAAATAGGTATGATAACTAAAGGAAATATCTCCGTAATGTTCTTTTATGTTTGGTGACATTTGTATACATAGTGCTTTCTGGCAGCTTTGTGACTCTGCTGAAGACAGTGGGGAAAAAACCAATATTTTTTCGGTTCTCCATAAATGGATTATCTCCTCATTAATGAGCACAGGATAAAATCAGCTTGCTGGTTTTTTTTTTGTTTTGTTACAAAACCAAAAAAAAGTTGATTTATTTATTTTTCACATAAATTCATAAATGATTAAAAGAAGTTGGCTAATGAAGAGGTATTAAGTTGCATGGAGAAGAGAATAAGTGAATTAAATTCAAATCCTGTGTTTGCATAACATTTATTTTTCCCTAAAGAATTTGTGAAAGGCATGGAAATCTGTAGATTTTCTTGATATCATATTATAAAGGTTAAGAGCAAAAAGTGCAGATTGTTCGAGGATTCTTCCCTTGTTGCATGTCACTTGGAAAGATTGCTATTGCGAAATAATTCCCTATGCCCTGAAGAAAAGTTATACAGCATCTGGATGAGCTCCTTCATCAACACAACCCATAAACCATGTAATTCTCATGTTATTTGCAGAATAACTACGTTTTGCTTTAGAGATACTCTGAAAGACTTGTCCAGCATGGTGCCATGAATAATCTTGTAAATTATGGGACTAATTCATGTCATATGACTACCATTTATGCCATAAGTAAAAAGATACATTCTAAAAAATTGACTTTTAAAAATTTTGTTTTATCTGCTAGGTTCTCTAAAGTAATTAATAAGCAGATATTTTCTATATTTATTAAATATAAACAAAAAACAAAAAAATAGAGAATATTCACTATGTGAAATTCAAAGTTATTGTTTGAAATAGGGTTGAATGTGTTGATTATAACATCATAGAACTTAGACAATAAAAGCACATTAGTTAAAAAAAAATCAATGAAAACATCAATTGCTAATAATAAAGTCAAAGATTATAATATATATATATGTGTGTGTGTGTGTGGACATAGAAATAAGCATGTTGATTTCTATGTCCACATTGTCTACATTTATAAACACAATCTTTGATGTTAAGCACTCTTTCCTATAAATATAGCAAATTTACTCAGAACTGTTACTTTGTGTAATCAACTCCTGAGAGGATTCTTCCCTAATAACTACAATTTTTGTCTCTTCAGGTCCAGGGTCAACCAATATCTATCTTACACATCCTCATAATATGCATTTCTTACTACCCCTTCCACCTCCTTACAACAATCTTGTGTAGTAATCCCTTTACAGTGAGTAACTCTTCAACTTGTATTGGATGAACTAATAGCATAAAAAATTTAAAAAAACTTAGTGTTCAGTAAAAGTTTTTATCTAAAAGCAGTTTTTATTGATCAGTGATAAATGTGGAATCCTTTTTTCCTGAAGTTTCAATGAAATACTTGTCAAGAGAAAGCTCTCCCGGAGACATTTTCTTCATTTTAGAAAATTGTGATTTTCTTGTAATATTCTTTCATTTTTTTTTTTTTTTTTTTTTTACTAACGTTCTATTGGTATATATGCAAATAAACAAACAAACAAACAACTCAAAATATACCACAGTTTTACTGGAAAATCTTGTAGATTACTTCTGAAATTTTATTAGAAATCAGTTTTAAAATTTTTAAATTGATAGTAATGGACAAATTTGAATTCTCATCATGATTCCAAGAATTATTAAAGACTAGTATCCTCATCTTTGTTGTCTTTGAAGTTTTGGAGAATTTCTGAAAATTATTTGCAGTTCTGAAATAAAGTATTGTCATTATTCTTTGTTGATTTGATAATGACATTTTGTTGAGTGTGGTTGTTGTTTTTTTTCAGGTGTATGACACTTTCAGTGATCTTTATAACTTTCTAGATGGACAGTCAAACAAATACATTGATTTACACCTGGATTAGATAATACGAATTAGCTATAGAAAAGAATATGCTGTTGAATCAGCATTAGCAACATTGCAGCTTTCATAATAGCATGCTTTGAAATATAGCCCAAGCACAAACCTACCAAAATATATATGGGATAGAGGGATTGAAGTGTATAGTTAGCTAATAAATTAAATTTTAGTTACCTTAAAACTTGTAAAATAAATTAAATCTAGAAAAACTTGAATAGAATCACTCAATAATTTTTTATTTTGCAAGTTTTTACCTTTTTTTTTGCTCACTTAAAAAAATAATTTAAAGAGAAGAAACAATTCATAGTGCTTGGATTTTGGGATTGTTGCAATTAGAGTAAAGATGAAAAGTTGCAAAAAAAACAAAACAAATAAACAAAACATTAACAAGAGAGATTCTATTAAATGATCTTTGAAAATTGCTGCATAATTTAATGTATGTTAGGAAGGCTGGTGTGCTCTCTGGTCAAAACACAGAGACTCAAACAACAAAGATGAGGAGACTAGTTGGAATAGTCAATCAAACAAAAATGTAATTGTTAAATTCAAGAAAATTTTTCTGCAACTGATATTTTCTTTAACTCCTTTACTCCTTTATCCATGCTGCAAAAAACATCATATTTTGCTAAGGCCTGACTATTATTATTAGAAAGTTTTCATATATATATAAGTCTTTAAATATATTTTTGCCAATCATTATTGTTGTATTTTGCATTTACATAGTGTTTGGAGTTTTTACTTTTTGTTTTTGTAAACAATTTGTCATTGTCATAAAGATATCACCATCTAGCATCAGTAGTGTGAAGGAGATAACTCTATTGCAGTGATTGATTTATTTCTTTTTTTATGGATTATCAACCATTGCAGGTTATTTAAAGCCAGAAAAATATTTTTAGATTGTAAGAATTTTTGGGGTAGAAATAATTTTGGAATTGGATCTAGGCTCTCTGATTTCCAATTCATGTCATCCATTGCACCACCTATATTCTCAAGTATTCACCCATCTAGGTACTGACAAGGGTTGACATTGCTTAACTTCAGTGATCATACAAGAACTAGTGTTTCAATGTGTTATGGCTGTGAGTCTCTAGTACAGTGAAAACACATTACAAACAATGAAAAACAACTTGGCATATTGTATATATTAATCATGAGTATTGGCAGAATAAAACCAAGAGGCTTTCTCAGAATGTCATTGAGGGTCTTTATGAAAAAAAAAAAAACAAAAGAAAAAACACCATTGATTGTTCTATCATTACTGATTACAATTAAGAAAACCATTGGTTAAAATAGAAAGAAAAATAACTTGATCTTTAATTACATTGCAACATGACTAATCAAAAAAAATTCATGGCACACGAGTTTATAAGTCTACATTAATTACTGGGTCATCATATAAGTAATGTTCAAATTTAGAAAAAATTTGAA